ACACATCAAACTTCTGCACTTCCAAAGTCAGCTTGTCCATTACGTGACACCTTACCATTTTGCGCGCGCTCGATCAGCGGCAAATCAGATTGTTGATGCGCCTGGTCGACATCCTGACGCTGATGGTGGTTATGATGCTGATGGTTGTGATGCCTGTGATGGTGATGATGATGGTGTTGATGCTGAAGCGGTTGAGGTGCTGTGGGCTGTTCTTCCGCTTCCTGCTGCTGCTGCTGCAGCTGCTGACGCTCCTCCTCTTCCTCATCCGTGTGCTCATCTGAGAGTGGTGTGGTCTGCTGTGCTACTTCACGCACCATTTGTGTGCTCTTGCGAATCGCTGGTTGATGATTGTGATTATCGTTGTTGAGGTGTTGATGTGGGTTATTATTTTTTGGTGCTGCTAGGGCTTCCAAGTGTACATTGTTCACTGAAGGTTCGGAACGTGCTGATTTTAATGAAAACATGGAACTAATCTTACGTAGCTTATCATGCACAGATAATTCTTTCTTTTCCGGATCATGTGTGCCATTGGTGATGCTTTTCGTGCTGTGTGAAAGGGAGCGTGCATACGATTTCGACGAGCGTTTCGAGCGTTTCGATGAGGTGGACGAAGATGAGGACGATTTGGTGGATTTAGATGATTTTGAGGTGGAAGAAGAGGAGGAGGAGGACGACGAACTGCCACTGATGGTCGAAGAGGTGTGTACTGGTTTAGTTTGAACCCAGAAGCGTAGAGCGAATAAAGATTCATTTTTAAAAGCTTCCGAGAGGGAGATCTTTGAAAGAAGTATAGAAAGGTTGAGAAAACAATAAGTTTAAAGGCTTTAAAAGTTCCAATGTGTTCGTATTTTTTTGATAGAATATCTACCCTCATTAAAAGTAGCTTTTTTTTATAAAAAGCAAACATACCTTTTCCTCAATTGCCACCGCTTTTATATTCCACAAAAACTCACACACACCAATTAGAATAGCAGTGAGCAGACCGATGCCTAGCACAAGAAACACACCACCCACATTTTCCAAATCCAATTCGGGCGTGTCACCACTACTACTCTCTGCTTGCGAACACGATCCACCGCCATGCATCTCCTTCCACCATTTGCGCTTCAATTCGGAGAGCGTACCGGATTCACCCAGCTTCAATACAGCGCCGCTGATCTGCTTACGGTAAGGCGAGTCTGTGTACAAAGCAATTGGGAAAAATTTTGAATTCTTAAAACCCACAATCATTTAACAGCCAAACTCACTAAATGGCATTGCAACGCCATAGGTTTTATAATCCAACCATCCACCCACTTGCATCAGATCACAATTTCGTTCGATAATATACTCTAGCGTTGTGGATTCCATAAGAAATGCATAGAGTCCCTTGCCCTTGAGCACACGCTCCACGCCTTCGTCATTATTCTTGGTGAATACCGAAGGGCGCGCTGTTTCCATGGCGGTCCACATGCGTTGGTAGGTGGTGAAATTAGAATCCTGTTTGAAAAATAAAGCGAAAGTGAATACAGCGTGTGTGTGAAAGCTTTAGT